ACTTGGGCCTCCTTTATCTGCAATGAAATTTATAAGTTGATCAAAAAAAAAAAAAGATATATTATCTGCATAAATTTTAATTAGCTAGTATTCATTAAAATAATTGGTAATTTCTAACGCATTACCGATAATTTGGAAATTGGGTTTTCGGAACCTAGCATAAATATACTAATAATATTCATTGATAATAAATTAATGATTTTAGGGGTTAAGATCTTTTTTGAAAACACTTCAACACAAAATTCAACATTGTAAGATGAATCATCGTAAATGGTTTGTTTAAGTACATATGTGTTGATGATAAAGTTTTAGAGTCCATAGTTATATTATCTCGTCATTGTACAACATTCATAAAATAAAATATTATTAACTCACATTATATTTGATACTTATTATATGACGTGGGGATCTCCATTTAGTTTTTATTTGAGTATTTCATGCTCGATATCTTAAAACTTTTTAAATTCATTAATAATGAAAGACAAATTCTCAAATGAAAACCACAAATTTTAAATTTCCAAGGGAATTCTTTTGGGATTTTACAACAAATTTCTAAGGAATCAACAATTTTTTTCTGTTTCATCAGGATTTTGACAGTAATTACCAACGCATTTCCAAAGAAATGTATTTTAGAAGTTTTATTTAGAAAACCATTTTCAATCCAAAAGACTTGAATCCGAAACTTATCCATTAACAGAATATATAGTCACATGCTTGTTCCCTTTTAGTAAAACCTTCACTATTTTATTGGAGCATTATTGATACTTTTTCCCTCAGTTGTTTTTTGTTCTCGTTCCTCTCCAATTCCTTTTTCCTTCAAGTGTTTTCATCTTCCACTTCAATTATTTTCAAAGAGTTTGAATGTTACATGTCTAGTAATAATATTCTTATACATGAAAGGTTTGTTTTTTAATCAAAGATCTCTTTTGGAAAAGAAGATAAGACGTGAAACGAAACTTTTGAAGATTTGTTTTTAGATATGTTTTTTACATACATAAGTTTCAGGTGGTAGTGTACTGCTAAAAAGCTGTCCCTACTATGATAGAATAATACTAATAATGCATTTTTAGTTTAAATACTAATAAATTGCGAGCATAGAATTTTTTTTTATAAGTATAGTATTTTTTACATGCTCTATTTACTTTCACATAGCACTCCCTTTATTGCATGTGATTCTTGGTAAGTGTATATTAATTTTCAGAGCCATATAGGACATCCTAAAAAAGTAGCAGAATGATGGTACAATGAAAGCAGTTTTATTTTAATATTTACACATATTACGAATGGAAAAGATATACACAGAGGCCAAGGATCAAACATTTATTTAGATGAAGTTAATAAAAAATATGTTTTTTGATATATTAAAATATACTAACAAAAACTTATAGAAGAGTTAAGAAGGCCAGCTTCCATCAAAAGATGTGGCCGATCTCTCTTCGAATCAAATATATAAGTCACTCTTGGTTTTCCCTTGTTTAAGGAGACTGAAAATCAAGTAATTAGACAAAGGATCATGGGCTGGGATTATGTATTTTTTAACGAGAAAGCTTTTTAGGCTCAAACACCTACCTTGTATGTGATCAGAAGGCTACGCACATGGATGATGGCTCTCTCTCTCTCTACCTAGGATTATATTACCCGACAAAGGAATAAAGTTTATGTTGATTTCGGCTAGTCTAAAATATTACTGATTTCAGAAACTTGCCATGTGGAAATTCTCATTTTTTTCTGACCAAACTAATGCACTTAAGAGCAATGAACTATTAACATGGAGCAAACTGAAACCATGTACAAGAAAAAAGAAAACTGAATCCAGTCACAATACACTACAAAATATTTTGTATATTTTACAATCAGTGGCGGAGCCACCTTAGAGGGAGGGGGTCAATACACATTTAGTGGATTCGAACTCCGGTAGATAATACTGCAGAGGTAGACATTTAACCAATTGACTACTAAAGACACTTCCTCAAAATTTTAGGGTGATTGTGTGGCTACAGACAGCATGCATAAGTTATATGGGAATCCGGTACGTGGAAGATGGCAAATTTCAAATTAGGGTACACGGATCTTCTACGAAGCACCAAGAAGAGGTATCACATCCATGCAAAGTCTTGGTCATCTAAAAATTGTTATCATATAATTATCTGTTTTTCTTACTTGCTTTTTTTATAGAGATTGACGTTGAGTACCCTGAAAAATATATCATAACAATGATCATATCATGGTGTCTTGTTTAAATCCATCCTCAGATGATGTGTGTAACTTGTAACTTCCCCTTGGGGATTAGTCTAGGTCATTAGGTATGGGATATCCCCATAGTAAAAGAAATCTCTTATTCAAGATCTGACATGCTTGGCATTTTTGGATAATAATAGCACAAAATATATTTTTAAGCCAAAGACCGGACATGCTTGTAAGATTCTTCGGAAGAACATGCTCGTTGGAGATCGATTATATTTGAAATATTCCGCTGCCAAAACTGACTTACGATTTATTCTTGGTTTCTATGTTTGAGAGGTTTTTATTTACTTTTGATCATTGAGTATATAGAACTGGTCTTAAAACCCGGGTCATGTAGTGTCATAGCAATGTCATACCGTCATACGTGCGCATAAAACTTTAATGGACCATGAAAAAACATTCAGATCGTGAATTGGTATTGGGCCTAAAGAGAAGCTCAATATGTTCTCGACTGAAGGACTAAAAATGGAGACTTGACAAAAACGATTTTTTTCCATCAGAATTATCATTAGTGAAGAGAACATAGAGCCATACAAAGATAGGATCAACACCCTACACATCCACCGAACAACACATACCTACCCAGACAGACATAAAAAACATAGACGGCAACCCAAACCCAAAAAATTAGCCATCAAACAAAGGAAGAGGGACGTTCAAAAAAAAATCGAGGAACCAAACAGCAGGACTGTGGCTACATAAGAAAAAAGACGACGCTTGAAAACACTTTGAGCAATGAATATAGTCCCTCTGTTTGATGCAGGGCATCTATTACTAACAGTCAATTCAAAAAGGTTGTAGGTAGATCTCACAAACTAAATCTATAAAATGAAGTTTTGCAAACTAAACATTAAAAATCATATCAACATATATTTTTCTTGACAAAAAAACAAATAAAATGTTCACTAATCTTTTTAAGTATTTTTTACAGGTGAAGGCAATATGAATAACATGTCGTCTCGGTTAAGTAAGAGACGGACATGACAAGGATTCAAACGATAAAATATACAGTAGAACACCAAATTGCTAGAAGAGCAGATATGGGTATGGCCGTATGGGGCATTTCAAATTGTGAGTTGGAATTTGGTTTTTCTATCTAAAAAAAGAATAGTAGTGTGAGGATGAATATGGACAGGATGATATCTCAAGGGATAGATCAAACAGGTAAACACGTTACGTAATTTACATATGCGCATGGTAGCATTTTCATGCACCGACCGTTGACTGACTTAGTCAATCACTAGCCGGTTTCACATTATCCATCATTTAAATATAAATTTATCTTTTATTTACTAAACAAAAAAAAACTTCTACTATTGCATGTAAGGTTAGTCTAGTCAGACACGGAAAAGATATCATGTTAATTAATAGGTATGTGTAATTTAATTTGCTCTGAAAATATATACTGTTTTAAATCAGTATCTGCTCTAAAACTACCCAAATATCTGATAAATTATGAATTTTTTTTATCAGATATACAATAGCTTGCTAAAATTAGCAAAAATTGTAAAGAAAATTTAATTAAATTATAAAACATTCCTTCAGTTTATAGTTATAGAACTAATATACACATGGATTTGCTTATTTCTATTTCAGAATATTTGGTCTGAGTATATGTAAGTTCTTTTTTGAGTAAATTCGTTATCGTAAAACTTATCTTTTGAATTTAGATCTAAGCAAAGACTACATAAACATATTTTTGATATTAAAACAGACTTTATGAATAGTTTATATTTACCCTCTATTTGTTTGTATGTATTTTCACACCTTTAAAAATGAGAATGGAAAACCCAATCCTAACATCAACGAATCAGCTGTCGAGAGAGAAAATGAGAAATTTTCTTATTGTTTCAAGCCGATGTTCGAAGATTTCTACAGTTTTGATATCGGTTTATTGGTCACTTAATTTGTTTGATTACCAATTTATTTTAAATTTGACAAAGTTTTATATTGTTTTTATATGTTTTTTCAATGGATTTGGGAAGACAGAATCTTTGGTTCAATTGAACCGTTCAAAAAAGGTAATTAACAGGTCTTACTAGCTTCAATGGTTAATGGTTTTTATTTTGATAGTGATAAAGTTTTTGATCTGTGGTTACTACGGAAGGAATCATGAAATGTATATAATATCTTTGACTCTGTTATTATCAATAGAATAATATAAAGAGTTGTGCTTCTCGATGATTCTTATTGGAGTAATAAAAAAAGGGTGACAATCGTTTTCAACTCTTTTGAGATTCAACCATTCCAAAAACAAATATGAAATTTTAAATGCAAAATTTTAGTCATCCATAGACAAATAGATGTTACTGTGTAACTCTTTCCTATATTTGTTTTTGTTAGTTTTCATTATTTATAACTCCTTGCCTACAAAAAGTTACAATACAATCAAGTGTTAAAGGAAAAAGAAAACATCAACAAATAAGTTTAAACCCTGAAGCCCTTTTTTTCCTCTTTCCGCATTAGTTGTCAACCTATCATTCAAGATTTTCAAACATTCAACGGTCAATTTTTCCGATTCCTAACAGCTAGCGAATAATCAAATCATATGACATCCAAACCGTTCTCCATTTATTCCCATTATTTATTTTCATCTTCATTTTCTTTTCCTTTTAACCCGAAATTAACTTTGACCCACTCGCGTTTCCAGAAACCTATGACTAAAACCATTACCATCACCTAAAAACGTTAACACATTACAAAACACATATAAACTCCTCCCAACTTGTCTCTCTCATTAGCATAAGACAGTCAAATTTAAAGACTTCTTATAATAGTTTCTTAACTAATCCCTCTCTTGTTATGGGACTTTCTTTGAGAATGAGACGGCGAGGAGGGACCAAGAACGACGTATTAACTCCAGCGATTACTTCCTCCTCCTCGGAGGAGGAAGAGATAGTGATCCCGTCGCAGTTTCAATGTCCAATATCTTACGATCTAATGAAAGACCCAGTGATTATCGCCTCAGGGATCACCTACGACCGCGAAAACATCGAGAAATGGTTCGAGTCAGGTAACAAAACGTGTCCCGTGACCAACACGGTCCTAACCACTTTGGAACAGACACCGAACCACGCGATCCGGAGGATGATTCAAGAATGGTGCGTCGCTAACAAAGGATCGTCGTTGGATCGTATCCCGACGCCACGTGTCCCCGTCACGAGCCATCAAGCGGTGGAGATTTGCGGGAAGTTGTTGTCTGCGACGCGGCGTGGGGATCACGTGGTGTGTGCGGAGATGGTCGAGAAGGTGGTGAGGTTAGGGAGGGAGAGCGAGAGGAACAAGAAATGTTTTAGACAAAACGGCGCCGGGTTGGTGCTTTGTGTTTGTTTCGACGCGTTTTCGGAAAACGCGAACGTGTCGGAGCTGTTGGAGGGTGTTTTGTTTTTGCTGACGTGGATGTTTCCGGTTGGGTCCGAGGGTCAAGGGAAGTTAACTTCCACGGCGTCGTTTAGTCGTTTAGTGGGGTTTCTGAAAAGCGGGGATCAGAACGCTGCGTTTATTGTGAAAGAGCTTTTATCTCTTGATGAAGCAAACGTTCACAAGTTAGCCGCGGTTAATGGCGTTTTCGACGCGTTGGTGAAATCGATTCGCGATTCTTCGTCCCTGACTTCGATCTTCCACATGATCTCTGCTAAACCTGAGACTACGACGAGGTTTCTGGAACTAGGTTTGGTTAATTCAACGGTTGAGATGCTTGTTGACTCAGAGAATAGCGTTTGCGAGAAAGCGTTACTGGTTCTAGACGCGATTTGCGAAAGTGACGAAGGGAGGGAGATAGTGAGAGGAAACGAGCTAACGATGCCGATTCTTGTGAAAAAGATTCTGAAGATTTCGGAGTTTGCCAAGAAGAGTTTGGTTTCTGTGATGTGGAAGATTTGTAAAAGTGGAGATGGGTCTGAGGTTGAAGAAGCGTTGCGTTTAGGTGCGTTTAAGAAGCTTGTGGTGATGTTACAAGTTGGATGTGGAGAAGGAACGAAGGAGAAAGTTACAGAGTTGTTGAAGATGATGAATAGATATATGAAGATGAATGGATTTGTTGATGTTTCTGATTCTTCTATTGAATTTAAACATTTAAAGAAGCCATCTTGATTCAAAAGAAAATTACTTATGTTTTGTTAATAAGTGGAAACAACATTTGTTTTCTAAATCATAGACAATTTTGATTCAAAAAAGACAAGAAGTCTAAACATTTGTAACACCTTGTTCTGCAAGCAATCTAAACCAGAGACCAAACTGTTTTATTTTTGGAACTAATTCTAAAGAGAGACCAAACTGTTACAATGCATTTTGCTTTGTAACAAAAATGTCTAAACAAGATGATGATTTACAAAAGAATGATTTTATCTACAAACCAAAAAATCATCAGTGTTTGACTCCTAAAAAAATGGTTTACAAAATGAACTGTTCACTATCAAAACTCTCTGAAGGAAACATCATCATTCCAAGACATCCCTCATCTTCGTCCCCAAAGTAATCATCTGCTGCTCCAATCATCAACACCTGATCTGGATTCTGAAACTCGTACTTGGGCTGCAAAACTCTCTTCTGCTGCTCTGCAAATTCATCACAGCAACTCGAACAAACATAAAGTGGAGGCAAAGTATCTGAATCATCAATACCACAGCATCTTGTGTGCTGCCAAACCTCACAGACATCACAAGAAATCATCCTCTCCCCATCGTCATCTCTAGCTCTGCAAACACATCTCACCATCCACGTGTCACATCCACCTTGGAACTTCAGGTTTGATTCCAAATCAATCCCGAATCCTCTCACAGTCAAAGCAGAACAAGACTCGAGTTTACCAAACAGCAAGTTGCTGCTATCATCTTCAGCATCAGCTTCCTTCAGCTCATCGATCTCACTCACCACAAAGTTTGTCAAGATGCAGTAAGTATCCCTGAAAGTTTCTTCAATGGCTTGCTTTAGATCAAACACTGTGGCTTGTAACGAGACTGTGACTAGTTCACCTGGAGGTAGCTCTGTGAACTGTTCTGACCTCAAACCAACCAAACTTGGATTGATACGGCAAACAAACCGGAAGAGTTTGTCATCGTTGTCCCATAAAGGCCACTCCTTGATGAAATGTTTGCTGTCTAGGACTACTTGAGCTGCAGATCTCACTGACTCGGAGTTTGGGTAATTCAACAGCACATTCGTGTATAGTAACAACAGATCCTCATAAACATGACCTCCAGGTTTTGGTTCAGTGACAACAGATCTCAAAGGAACCGCCTCTATCACAGGATCTGTCTTCTGTTCTACCAGTTTAGCATCATCATCAAGCTCTTGTATTGTGTAGTGAAGAATCCTTGTGACAGGATCCACATAGCGTTGAACCAAAACATTCCCAACAACCACGTTGTTCATCGACTTCAACACGTAGTCTAGCAGACCCGTGTCTCCAATATGCAACCTAGCTGAGTCTCTGACATCTTGCCGAGTCATACCACTCTTCTTCAGTGCTTTCATCTCTTTTAGCGCCTCCACAATGACCTCAGCAGCGAACTCCAGTCTTCTCACAGGCCATCTACTTCCCAAATTAGCTGCCACGGTGCTGTAACTCCTGTATCCCTGAAACTTCTCACTCTCCACGGCATCGCTTTTCTTCAAAAACAACCTGCTTGATCTTTTCTTCTGAGGAGAATCAGTTGAGAGAGTAGTAGGAGGAGGAGTAGCGTGAAGCTTGTTCTTTTGAGGACCATAAGACTTGATGATAAGGATAAACCTCAAAAGATCCTTAAACGTCTTCAAGTTGCCTTCACTCATCTCTCTGTAGTACCGGAAAACCTGCTTGATCCGTTTGCATTGTTTATGCTCTCCAAAGTCAAACTCAATCTGATCTATTTCAAGGGAACCAAGCAGCTCTATAGCATTCTCGTAATCGTTCTTAGTCACACCGTAGCTTCCACGACAGAACCTGTATCCCCATCTCCCAAACCACGAGTGTCCATAAGCCACACCGTACAGCAAACGAAGATCCAACGACCTCTTCTTAGACAAGTCCTCAACAGTAATCATCCTTCAAAACACATTCATTCATTCACTAATCAAAACCAAACAAACAAAAAAGAAACAATATGTTCTACTTACCTAGCTCCGAGGCTGGTACAAATTCGATCCCAAAGATCAACCACTTCTCTCCCGCACAAGAATCTGGACCCTCCTTCCAAACCATTGACGCAAATCAAATGTCCAAACCCGTTAGTGTGAATCAGTCCATGCAAGAGATGCGTCTGCAGATCGAATACATCGTCTTCTAGAGGCATATTCCACTCAGTATCCATTGGTATGATAAAATGATACTTCCGTTTTGACACAAAGTGATGGCTCCATCCTGTTAAAGAAATAAAATTTCCTTCTCATCTCAGTATAACAACAACTCATAAAACCCAATTCTTAAAACCTCAAACACGCAAAATCAAAAGTGCAATACTCATCTCGAACCAATCGTTAACCGTCTTTAAATCAATGCATCGTAATCCCTAAACCGAAATTTCATTAACTCAATAATACTAATCTCAAACCAACATCCAGAATCTCAGTATAACAACAACTCATAAACCTCTGATTCAATCGTTATCCCTCTTTAGATCAATGCATACACATAATTTCAATTAAGCAACAAACCGTAATCCCTAAACCGAAATAGAAACTGTTACACATTCCCAACAATCACATTGAGATTGTGTTAAAGGAAAATAAAATTTCCTTCTCATCTCAGTATAACAACTCATAAAACCCAATTCTAAGAATCTCAAACACACAAAATCAAAGTGCATACTCATCTCGAACCAATCGTTAACCGTCTTTAGATCAATGTATACTCAAAACCGTAATCCCTTAACCGAAATTCCATTAACCCAGTAATACTAATCTCAGTGTAACAACTCATAAACCCAAATCTTAAAATCTCTGATTCAATCTCTAACCCTCTTTAATCAATGCATACACATAATCTCAATTAAGCAACAAACCGTAATCCCTAAACCGAAATGGATTCTACAATCCGATCGATTACAAACATACTCAAAATCGTAATCCCTTCATTAACCCAATATACTAATCTCAAACCAAAATCTCAGTGTAACGACAACTCATAAAACCCAATTCTTAAAATCTCTGATTCAATCGTTAACCCTCTTTATCAATAAACTGTTACACATTCCCAACAATCACATTGAGATTGTGTCAAAGAAATAAAAATTTCCTTCTCATCTCAGTATAACAACAACTCATAAAAACCCAATTCTTAAAATCTCAAACACACAACATCAAAAGTGCATACTCATCTCAAACCAATCGTTAACCGTCTTTAGATAAAAATCGTAATCCCTAAACCGAAATTTCATTAACCCAATACTAATCTCAACCCAACACTCATAACCCCCAATTCTTAAAACCTCTGATCCAATCGGTAACTCTCTTTAGATCAATGCATACACATAACCTCAATTAAGCAACAAATCATAATCCCTAAACCGAAACAGATTCCAATTTCTATAATCAGAGACTTAAAAACGATTAAACCCGAACCTGTGCATCTGCAGTGATCGCAATAGGGCTCAGACGATCGACCAACGTCTTCTTCGATCGTATACAGAGGGATCACTGTGCTCTTCGCCTCGTGGCTGAGAAGCGTACACCAAACAGGCGATCCACCGACGTTATACTCCTCGACCTCCGCGAACTCCCGGAGAAAAACCCTTACGTTGTCTCGGAAACTACCGCTCCGGCTAATCGGGAACTCTTCTTCCCCCAATCGCTGGAGACTGTACACGCTCGGCCTCCTCTTTCGCTTACGGCAGGTCTCGAGTATCGGAAGCGGCATCGTTTCGTTGATCGGAAGGTTAGGGTTTCATCACCGTTGGAGACGGAGGTTGAGTTGGAGGAGTTTCGGCGGTTTGATTTGAAACGGAACGGAGAGTGTTTGAGAAGATACCGTCGGAGTGATGAGAATCTTACGGTTAGTGAAATCGAGTTTCGTCAAGATCTGACGGTTGAGGATTGAGTTTGGTTGTTAGATGGATCTTGACCGTTTGTTTTTCTAACCGTAAGTTTGTTATTACGGTTTAATAACTACCTCAGATGAGTTGATGACTCTCCCAGTAAGTTTTTTCTTTTTTGACTCCCAGTAAATTAACTGCAAACTGATTGAGTATTTTTATTTATTAAGGAGACATTTTTTTATTTTAACTTTCTTATTGTGTTTTTTTTTTAGAAAAATAATTTACAAGGGCTAGCTGAGCTGGTCCAAATTAAGGTGGTTTGATTCTGGATATAGCAGATACTAAAGTTTCATGTGTATTGTTATTTGCAAATATCAGTTGGGTTTTAGATACTTGATCAATGATCAGATACATGAATGGCCTTAGAGTGTTACATGTATCAGTTATTTTCGGGTATTATTGATATATGTTTAGGTATTTTGCGTCTATATTTTTTTTTAAGGATCCAATTTCTCAGAACCCTTCACTTGAGTCTCCAATTTCAAGATAAACTGGACTTGGGGTATAAGTGTGGAATCTTGTCTCGTAAAATGGAGTTTTTTTTTTTTCTTTTTGGGGTTTCTTATCTCGTCTACTAGAAGAGCTTGGGTTTTAAGTAGAGGATTATGGCACCTTGGACTCTGGTGGGAGGGTCACCTTAAAAACATATTGAGTTGCTTGTAGGTAAAATGAAAAATTAGTTGGATAGCTTATGGATTAGTAAAACCTATGCTAACAGATAAGCCAAGGTTAGCCCAACTCAAATGGGTGAGGATAAGCCAATGGTGGAAGTAGATAAAGCTTTTCTGCAAAGGATTGCGGCTTCGGATAAAAAGCGCAATACATCAATGGTGTGTGTTAATTACTCTTGTATTCCGAGTAAGTGTGCGAGCTGTGACAATTAGTGTATCATATTAAACATAGTAATTTCTTAGATTAATAATTTAATCTTACATCTATTGTTCCGTATTAGTTGATGCATCTTCATTCAAACAACCATTTTATGATGGTACAAGTGTATAAAATGGTGAAGATGTTGTTAAGATTCGCCATATGAATTTAAGTTAGGGTTAATACTCCTAGTAAATTTTCTTGATCATGGACGAGCCTTCATAAAATGCCTCTACTGTTAAAACCCCCAAAATTTTATAAATGAGTTTATTCTGTATCAGTTATATATAACCTCCACAACTCGCACACAAAAATCCTCATTCTAAAAAAGACATGTTTATTATAACTAGACTTCCAAATGATCAATTAAAAAAAAATTTAATTTACGAAAAGCCAGACTAGATGTAAGATATAATTAAGTTTTATGATAAGAATGATATTTGCAGTATCATTTTTTGTGATTAACAACACGTCAAAAAAAATGAGAATATTCTTTATGACCACTCACTTTTGAAAAATCAAAAAAGAGGTGGTGAGAACTTTAGGTTCGTTCGTGGAAATCGAGTCACTCTTCCCATCAGGAGTAGAAAAACACAGCTCTGCCTCTTTTCTGTTATTCATCATCCCAATTCTTAGAATCTCAAAAAGAACTTTTATAATATTTCAAGAGATCGATTCATATGGATGATCCTCAGGTTCCTCCAGTTACATCTAAAGGTTCAAGTATTCCTCTTCTTGGTTGCATCATAGATATTCTTGTTCATCTATTTACGTTTTCAAGTACAAACTTTTGTGACGAACAAGACAAAGAATTCGTTGATGTGGCGGTCGAAGAAAATCGTGCAGCTCATAAGCATTTTAGGCAACTCAAGTGTGCTAAACTCAATTAGCCTTTTTTTACTAAGTATTTCTTACTATATATATATGGATATCTAAGATCTGATGTGGTAATAGTTGCCTTAGATAAGAGTTTTCTATGAGATGTAAATACGGTTGTACATGAATAAATATTAATTTTGAGTTCATACTATGTGAAATTTTCCGTTTGGAGCAAGGAAAGTTTTAAGCATTTACCAGGAATATCTCAACTATGCATCTACGAATCGTAGCCCACACTGCTTCTTCCAGATCCGATGGTAGGAATTGATCCGTGCTTAAGTCTACCTGAGATCGGAGATACACTACTTATGAACCATTGATCATGTTTCTATATGTGTGACTTACAAAGTGTGAGTATGTTCCACCATTATTTTAGAATACACACGTACGTTCTAATGTGTCATACCTAATTTTTATAAAATGCATATTATTAATAGTTTATGTACATATTTTTAAGATTCATTACCGCAAAAATGAGATTTTTTGGTTTTGACAAAATATGTAATTTATATTTTTGCAAAACTGCAAATTATGGATTTAGCGGAAAATGTGATTTTCTGTTTTAAAGAAATGTGATATAATTTTGACAGGGAATATGATTTTATGGTTCTGTGAGAGAACACAATTTTATGATTTGAAGGGAAAATATGATATTTCAATTTTTATGAAACTTTTATTTTTTGGTGGAAAAATCATTTACGAATTTTAGAGAAGATATAATTTTTTTTCCGATCTTAGCTGAAAATGTGATTGTTTGTTTTAAAAAAAAATATGTGATGAAATTTTTAATTTTTATTAAAAAAGTTTTGAAGACCACTTTAACTATAAAATGATCATTTTGTCATTTATTATTTTAGATTGTCATCCAGATGTTCAATGAAAACATTTTTAACATTTTATGAAAAATCAGCTAATTTCAAAAAAAAAAATTGATCCATTTGTATATTGGATTAACTACATGGATATGATTATTTCATATAAACAACAGCATCATAAAAAAATTATTGAAACTAGAAACAATTGTTGTACGTCTATTTTTTCTTATAAACACTCGTATGATTTTAAGGTACAGTAAAATTGTCACAACCGGACTAAACCAAATTCACTATTTTATTTTGTCATTTTCCCGAAAATGTACATATTAATTTGAAAAAAATAGATGTACATATGTACTGAAACTGGAAGAAATACACAGCTTTTTTTTTTTTTGCAACGAAGAAATACACAGCTAGTTAATAAAATACAGAAACATTATTAATGTACGAATTTTAAAAAATTGTTCAAATAATCTTTCCATCCTACTAACCACTAAAGTTAGCGACGACCGGTCTGAGTCTTGCCACTAGCTGCCGACCTGAGTAGAGCCTCAGCAGCCGCAGAAACCTTAACTGTTCTCCGGCTAGCCGTAGAAGCCCGTAAATTCACGTCATCGCTTCTCCCACAAACCGTAGACACTGGACCCATAACAATCAGTCCCTTCCACAAACTTCTTTTGCTCACTTTTTTCATGAAATTCTTGTTATCATTATTTCCACTACTACTAGTAGTCTTATCATAGAGAATTCTCTTTAACATACCATGATCATGATTATGATTATCGTCGTGCATGAAAGCACTTCTCAAACTCACGGATAAACTAGGATCATCAAAATTAAGCCTTCTTGAAAAGTTCTTGATCTCGTACGTGTCTAGTAGACGAGAGTATTGGGTTTCTTGATCTTCTTGATAATGGAAATTGTTGTACCAAAGGGAAGACTTAGAAACCCTATTCTCGGCTAAAACCTTGTTGTCAGAGAGGATCATGTTCTTTGTAGCTTCGATCTTGTAACGCGAAGGTCGAGGTGTTCTCGGTGCTCTTGTTATCTCAAACTCTCTCATAATCGGTTTGCCTTCCTTCCTTTGATACCAAGCCCACGCCGCCGCCTTCACCACCGCCAAATCATCTCCTCCGCCTCCATAAACCATCATCGGACGTTTCTTCTTCCTCCTCTTGATGTTGTTAACATTGTTCTCGGACATGGATGAGGTAGAAATGTAGTAGTTGGCGAATGGGAGCATTGTGATAATGGTTTTGTGGGAAGGGGTGTGAGTGGGGAGGGTTTGTGGAATTAGAGTATGTCACATTTGGGTGATTAATGTTAAATAATGACAAAAGGAAAATTATTGATGAACATATTTCGTTTTTTGATTTATAATAAATAAAATGAGAGAAAGTAGGTATATTGGTGTTACTTTAGGGTCCACCAATGGATACGAAAATCTAAATAATTCCACAGGGAAAATGTTATTTATATTTTTGTGTTAGTTGGAATTGGATGTGCATAGTGTATATCCTACGTATCACCATCGGTCCCTAGACGCATATTCATTATCGTGAATTAATATATCAATAAAGCATGGATGATGAAACTTAAAGTCCATGTTCTGGACTACAAAAGTAGAATCTTTACAACAGCAATTCAAAGTGGAAAAGTGGTCATTTCAAAAGAAAGAAAAAAGTGGTTACATACAATATTGCAAATTACTAATTGTACTTCATTTTGTAAAGATTATCTTTAACCGTTCTATCATAATCAATCGGATCCATTTACCCTTTTGACAAAGAATAACGCGCATTGCATTGTCTTATCTTCCTCCAAGAACGAAGACAATCCAAGATTTTTTTTTAAGGCAACTTGGCTTATTGTGGGGATAGGTGTTGTTGTCGTCGTGGATGAAATGCTTATATTTAACAGCTTTCTGACGAAATTCAATGCCAAGACCAATCGATATTCAATGCTATTTGGTGTGAACCAAGATAAGGGTCTCTAGTTTAGCAACACAAATGGTGGCTTAGCTAAAGACGCTAATGAAAAGCATCAACACTAAGTAATCTTAGGAAGGATACAAAGTCTGAACACTTAAAACTTATTACTGAACTTGAAATTTTATTTGTTTTGGTGATTGGGATTAAGCTTGTGGCTGATACGAGAAGCCATTGACCGAAAGACCTCCATCAACGCAAATGGTCTGACCCGTTATATAAGAAGCTGCAGGCATACAAAGAAATGCCACCAGCGATGCTACCTCCTCCGGTTTTCCTAAGCGTCCCAAGGGATTTGTTGATTCCACCACTTTCTTAAATTCATCATCAAACGCCTACAAATCATCATCCAATGCGCAAGAAATCAAATTATCATCAAATTTGAAAAGAGATATATCTTCAATATATAATTGGATCTCACATTATCAACCAGTGGAGTGGCAATGAATGTAGGAGCTACAGAATTAGCCCTTATGCTGTCGCTCGCCCACTCGCATGCCAAATTCTTTGCCAGCTGATTCATTGCCCCTATGTACACACATACTAATATGTGTTATGAAACCTTATTTGTTATTTTTACTGTTGAAATTTATATTTAGTGTAACTGAACACATTCTTAGCCTTTATGATGTGAACATGAACGAACAAGTTAATTTTTAAACAATCTATGTCGAAGTCTGATCTTCTCTTCCTACTGGAACAAATATCATAGGACATGATTGGCATAGAAATATAACTGAAAAGATTCAGACCCAACAAAAAGGTAATGACACAATCCATAAAGGTTAAATTAGACTCTCTAAAAAGAGTAAGAGCATATAGTATACAAATATCCGAAGATTTCTTCATTTTCTATGTATAGAGTAACTTTCAATGTGGAATTACGTCCAATGTATTATTCGCCTTTTATTTTAAAAATAACTAGATCTCAATCCACACGCAACTGCGCGGATATTTGTTTACATTTATTTTTATGTCAAGATATTTGTTTACATTTCTAAATTGGTGTATATTATAATAATATGAGGTGTGTCTATCATTTTTCAAAACATAATAATTCTACTATATTTTTTTATTGAATAGATTGTTTTATATATATATATATATATGTATATATATATGTATATATATTCTTTAGATTGTTATTTCATTTAGCTTGTAGTTATATATAAAAATTGATAAAATATTTTTTAATTGTCACCTCCAAAGATGTTGTAATATTTAAAAAATTAAAATTTTTTATAAAATTAATTTTTTAGCTTCATAGATTTATATTATCGAGTATATCTAAAGTTGTTCAAATATAATAATATTAGAGAAATACTTGTTTTCCATTAAATAGATTGTTTCAATTTTCACATGTCTTTGTTTGTTCTTATATTTTTTTTTGTTTGTTGGATTAGTATTTCATTATTAAATAAAAAATCAATCATATTTATTTTTATGTATTGATTTCATAAAGAATTTAATTAAACATTTCATTATATTTTTTAAATGAACTATCTAATCTATTAAAAGTAAATATTGTAAAGATTTAAATAGTATATATATGGGTCAAGTATTCTTTAAAATATTAATTCAATGGGTCAAATATTCTTTAAAATGTTAATTCATTGGGTCAAGTATTCTTTAAATTCAATTATTTAAACCCTAACATAAATTTTTATAAACCCAAAATGATCAGATAACAAAACTTTTTCTGGGAAAAAACGTGTTCTCTACCGAACTTGTTGTCAAGATTTTTACATAACATGTTTAGACCAAACCGTACATAAAATGTTTAGACCAAACCGGTGCTATAATTTTGTAATAAATGATTTAGACTAAACCAATGCTAGAATTTTGTAATGTTAGGTTCCACTTCTGTTTAGTCAGCGGTTAAGTTAATTAAATAAGTTGCACATAGAAGAAAGTCAAAAGTCGGATTTTTAGGCGTAGTATTGTCAATGCATTCTCGATTAGTTAGGCATAATAAATTTTAGGCATATTGTTATCATTATGTGTCGATTAGTTAGGCATAACAATGGTAAAGTCCACTTCTAGGAATAAGTCCAATTTTCAAAAAATCATACATTAACTAAAGTTGTGATTTTTGTTTTGATCAACAAAAAAAAGCCTTCAATTAAGAAAAATAAAAATAATATAATATTTATCTAATTTAATTTCTATATTTTAAATAGATAATTCTTCCATACTCATTCACGGATGTAAACTTACAACATAGTCAAATGAAAATAACTTGTAAATATTTTATTTTATTTATTAGTTTTAAGTAATTTTATAATTTTTATATATGATTAATAAATGAAATATTGCTCATCTTGATTAGATATTTGATTTCAAGTATAATATTTTGGATCGGTTCAAGTATTCATTTTGAGGTATAAACATGCTCTTGAGGAATAAAGATGATTATGGATAAATTTTACTTTAAATGTAGCTTAAAATGAAATAGAAGTGGATTGAATTTCAAATTGAACAATAATGATATTTAGTTACATGAATTTTTTAAATGGTGGAGAAACATACCTAATAATGTCTCAATTTTTTTTTTAAAAAAAACTGGATGAACTCTACCAGTAGCTATAAATCTATGTAATTCATTTTATTTGAGATATCTATGTTAGATTTTTTTTTTATGTTAGATACTTGCATTGGAGATTCTTCAAAACCAATCATACACGTGGGGTTGCAGAGAAACTACTGCCCCTGATTCTAAAGTACGCCCTACGCGGCATTCTAAGGGACACCTATCGTTCTACGGAAGCATGGCACACCAATTTTTTTTTTTTTTTGAAAAAATGGCACACAAAATTTCAGAGTTCAGTTAATTTAGATGGCATTATCTATAGTAAAAAGAGTAAAAACTCTATAATTTACTAATTTCGAGATTTTTATATTTTATTAATTTACAAAAATTAGATTTTTATCTATTAAGATAAATCTTTTTATAGTATATATATATATGTATATATATATTTGATTTTAATGTATATACATTAGTTATTTTTTTTTTTTGTAATTTGATATTGATTTTAGTATATATAAATTAATTAAACTTAGAAAAATTAGTTAGCAATAGCTTTATTATATTATTAATAATATGTTTTTAGAAGTTAAATGTGGTTTTAGATGCAATTTTACTAAATCTCATTAAAATATATTAAATGTTTAAAATATAAAATAATTGCATTTTGATACAAACAATATAATGGTTGGTTGCACTTATATAAAATTTATTTACATACAAATAATTAATTGATAATTTTAATGAGACTATATTTACATATAATCTTTTAAAAATTATTATCTTACTAATTAATCGTCATATTTTGAATGAGTCCGATTTAAAACCAAATAAATTTATTAATTTATAATATTTATTAATTTATCGAATATTTATTTAAAGAGTTTCTACTGTATTTTGGAATTTTGACTTATATTAAAAATGACAATTATCTTACTGGACATGTTGCCGACAGATCAACACTCAAATTACATTTAAAGTGTGCATGAATTCATATTTATAGGAGGGATTGTACTAGTGTGGGAGATAAACGTGTGGCCGTTTTATTTTATTTTCCTAACTATTTAAACTTATAGTGTAATTCTTTGTTCTACATCCGGTTTGAACAAAAAATCATATGAATATATACATTTGAAAAGATATTATTTTCTTAGGTTAAAAAATAATTAAAACTACATAAAGTTTTGATATAAATATTTTGACTTCTATTCTATCAAAAATGAAGTTCAAAAGGATACTTGCATATTTTTAAGTGAAGTTTTAAATTTTTAATGTAATTATTTGCTCCACATCCGATTGAACAAAAAAAATCATATCAATATACATTTGAAAGGACACTATCTATTTTAGATTAAAAATAATTAAAACTATATAAAGTCACGATATATATTTTTTTGGCTTCTTATTAAAACTAAATTACAAAATACGACTTGTATAATGTAAAGTGTGGTCTACAGATTTTCATTCATTTTTAACTAAATTCTAACCACTTTATTTTTTTAATAATTCAACATCATTTATTACATCTTTTACGTTCTTTTCACCTTTTTAATTACTTCTTTAATTCTCTTTACCATAGTAATCTGGCAAGTTTGAATGAAATTGCTCAATTTTGAATTCATTTTTGATAGGAATCCAAAATGGTTAAGACAGACTTTTCTTATTTGTTATCTTACCAATGTTTATACAGCTGTAGTTCACCCTCCGGGGCTAACGCATAACATATTTGAAAACACTGATGATCTACTATGAGGGGGTTTGGATTTTTCCTGATATTTGGTTTTGGTTTCTTCTCGAGTGAGTCAGTGTCAGGGGTGAAGCCATTTATAGAAGGCTATGGGTGTCTTTGCACCACTAATTTATCAAATTTTGATTATTTTAGAAGATTAAAATTTAAAAATTGTTATAGTTGCACCCATTGATCCAGTTTATAAACTTTATATGCACCTAGTAAAATCTACATCTAGCTTCGCGACTGGTCAGTATGTACCTTTTGTGGCACTGTAGATGGAGCTGATGCCAAGTGAGACGACCCCAGAAAGAGAGGATATGAACACGATGTTACCACACCCTGAGGCCTTGAGCAGAGGATGTGCAAGCTGGCTAAAATGATACGCAGATTCCAAGTTGGTCGAAATGTGGAACGAGAAATCCTCTGCCGTATGCTCTATTGTTGGCTTTGACCGAATTGCACCAGCATTGTTGATCTAATAACAAGAATACAGCCGGAGACATGAATCAGCCAATTTAAAAAAAAAAAGATAATCAGCCAAAAGTGTTACATTTGATCTGTCTTTCTTAGGACAACACAAAAAACAATCAAATGATATAGTGGAGATTAATTACAAGGATACTGAGCTTGGCATCAAACAAAGAGTTCACAGTTTCCATCAGCTTCTCTCTTTCGGTCCAGGACGATACGTCACAGACTGAACCAGTGACTTGAAACCCTTTATTCTTCCATTTGCTTAAACACTCGTTGAGATGTGCTTTGTCTCGAGCACATGTATGTATTATTACCCCAAATCCTGCAAGTTCCTCTACTATAGCATGCCTAAAAATTTCAAGAATCAACAACATATATTAAAAAGAGTCTGTCACCATTGCTTTTACGATGTATACCGAAAGAAGAGGGGTTTACGAACCCAATGCCTTTGGTTCCACCGGTGACAAGTGCGGTCTTGCCTTGAAGGCTCCATCTACGTCTTTGCTCTTCTCCTGCCATTCCCCTCAAATTAAAGTGGATGATGTAATGAGAATACTTGTGTTGGTTGATTATATATAAGTAAAAGTGTAGGCCACGTCCACACATATTAGAAGTGGATGATGTTATGAGATTTTGTGGTGGTTAATTACATATAATTTTCTTATGTTTTTGATTACTTATAATTAAGTAAAGCAGGCCATGTCCACACATATTAGAAATGAATGATGTTATGGGATTTTGTGGTGGTTAATTACATAGAATTTTTTATGTCTTTGATTACTAATAATTAAGTAAAGCCTAAATATCTTAGTTTTGGTTTTCTCTTACTGTACAGTTAGACTTTACTACTACTATATCAGAGTCCAAAATTTTTTAAGTTTTAGTCAAAGAAATACTCCCTCTCTTTTTTTCTAGATAAGTATCATTTTACCATTTTCTTCTTGTTACATAAAAAATATCATTTTAAAGTTTCATTGCACTTTTGAACTAAATCTTAATTACAAATGCATTGATTTTTATAAATAATTTTAATTTCTAAAAATTTTATTAGTTGAATATGTATAGTTAATAAGAATATAATGCATTCCAAAAAATTTCTGTGAAAAATATCAAAATAACACTCTTTATGAAACTGAAAAAAGTATCTAATTTTTAGTCAATAGAAAAAGAGAAATAGGGATGCGGATTCATTGGGTAAACAAATTTTGTCTGCTGAATATGTCTTAGAACATTATTATCCCAAATGCTTAAAGGAAGGTGTTTCAAAAAAAACTAATATACACATGTGAAGCTGTATACATATACACATATAATCTATGTACACATCTTTTCACTAATGACAAAATCGTAATTAACCCACCTTCTATCTATCAATTTTTTTAGGGTTTCTGTAAATTTTTGACGGCCGTAGACCATGTATCTTCCTAAATCATCTGAATTTGGTGTGTTTTCATGTTATTTTGGCAGCAAAATCATAGATCTATTTTCAAATAATCAATTTTCAAACTAAAAAGGATAATTTGATGAATCCATTTTCTTAAATATGCCAAATCACCTGGTGGTTCACATCTAAACATTCTGTTGTCCCATTATCAGCTTCAACCTTCGTGTAACAGTTCCACTCGTGCCGAAGTTCCTCCTCCCTCGAGATGTTTTTTTTTTGCATCGGTTTTATTCAATTTCATCAAAAACTCAACGAAATCCATTGAGTCCACTCACTAATTTTAAATTTTAAATACATAACTAGAAAGCCAAAAACCTCTTTCCAGTTTTACTCTATTAACTACACTTTTTCTAGGGAGAAGTTAAGACATTTCACTAAAAAAATTACTCAAAAAATAGTAATAACTGACTTATTGTGACACTAAAAATAACTCATAAACTGCTTTACAGTGTTAAAACATGTAGCCTAAATACTTTTAATTTGTGTGGAAGTGGCCTACATAATGCCTAATCTATAACTTGTGTGGACGTGGCTATAATGCCTAAATATCTAGGCATTAATTAGGCATTATGTAGGCCACACCTATGTTAATTCCTAGACATTTTAGTGAATATACTTGCTACTTGCTGGTTGCTGCTCTATAATGCCTAAATATCTATGTTTTGGTTTTCTCTGAGTGCAAAACGTTTTAATTTTTAGTCAAAAAAAAATCTCTATGTTTTGAACGTGGGAAATTAAACCAGACGATAAATTTGACCCGCTTGTTCTTGTCGGCGACTTTAAAAGCCAAACTATTCACTAAAATGTCTAGGAATTAACATTAGTAGATGAACATATTCTTTCGTTTTATAAATGTCTATAGGAAAAAGAAAAATAATTCAAAAATATAATAACATGAGTAAATGAACTTAACTCTTCTTCATTCATATAATAAAGTTATGTGGTTAGAGTTTATGTCTAAATCTGCAAAACAACGTCTTGAGCTTTTCACTATGATAGCACATGAGGGGCATGTTCATAGTTCATCATCAAAATTGAGACAGCTATAAGAGCTTCAGCCGTGGAAGAATATTAAAATGAATCCGTACCATTTATTATACTAGTTGCATACCCCCCGCGCAAGCGCGGAGCTGGGGAACATTGATGTTTTCCTGTGTTTTTATCGGTTGTTGGTTTAGTGGATTATTTTAATAATACCAAATAATGATGAAATGGAAAGAATGAGCAAGAGTGTAAAGTGAACATATTATATATATAATGTGTTAAATGTTATTTATATGTGAAGTAAGGTTTATAGGAATAACGAAATTATAAGATAGTTTATAGTGTATAATAATAGGTGTCTATCTTGTTTTTTATTTTATTTTATGTTGGAAATCGTTTTTATATCAGAGGTAAAAACTTGATATAATTATTTATTTATAGTATTTATATTAGTACTAAACGATTTATCAATTTGAAAATAACTTTATTTTAAGCTAATATTTGTTGTTTGGGTTTCAATAGATAGGTTTGGATATGTTTTTTTGTAAGTTTGGATTTTGTTCATGAATAATATGTCATTTTTATTTACGGCGTCATCGACTGTTGAAATCCATTCGCCGGAGTCTGATAAAAATGAAATTATAGTAACTATTAAAAATTGAAGATAAATTACATAGTTATTTTATTAGATAACAAAAAATACTTATTTTTTTGTTTTATTTTATTTCACATACATAATTTTTTGAAAATATATATTAGAAAATATGTTCTAACAGAAATATATATTAGGACATTATAATATAGTTTCTAGTGTCTAATAATAGGTGTCTATCTTGTTTTTTTATTTTTTATGTTGGAAATATTTTTATATCGTAGGTCAAAACTTGATATAATTATTTATTTATAGTATTTATATTTGTACTAAATGATTTATCAATTTGAAAATAACTTTAGTTTAAGCTAATATTTGTTGATTGGGTTTCAATAGATAGGTTTAGATATGTTTTTTATAAGTTTGGATTTTGTTCATGAATAATATGGTATTTTTATTTACGGCGTCATCGACTGTGGAAATCCATTCGCCGGAGTCTGATAAAAATGAAATTATAGTAACTATTAAAAATTGAAGAGAAATTACATAGTTATTTTATAAATAAAAATACTTAAATTTTGTTGTTTTATTTTATTTCACATACATAATTTTTTGAAAATATATATTAGAAAATATGTTTTAACAGAAAATATATATTAGGACATGATAGTGCCACGTGGGACTTATTTTTTGTTTTTGTTTTTTGGACTGTTCGTTTTTTGATCATTTTTTAATTGTTTTTGGGTCTGAATTCGTCAAACTTTAGGATTTTTGTCACTATTTTTCGTTTTAAACAATAAGTCCAGAGGAAAAAAACATTAAAACATTAAAAATAAAAAACCATATGATAATAATTCAAACGAAAAAAAATAAATTACATAACAGCTACGTGGTTCGAACCCATGCACTTGTGGACATCATTAGATGCCTTATACCACTGAGATAAAGTATATTCATTGTTCATATCCATTTTAAACAAACTCTAACCTTTTAAAATTTAATTGTGCGGGACCTACAAACTTGCTGACGTGGACAGCTTTAGTAGCTTTAGAAGTGAACTATTATAATATAGATTAATATTTTATTTTCTTTAGTCCTGCATTTATTTTTAATCTGATATACAATTAAAGAGACACATTTGGCACAATAGTCTCCTTAGAATTAATCAGAATTTGTTCGTTGAGGGATTACTTCTTTTTTTTCTTCTACATTCTCTTTTTTTTTTGCATTACTTAACTAGGGTTTTAAAATAGGGTTTATTTTGTGAAATAGCTATAGAAAATGAGTAGAGAAAGATAGGAAGAAAAAAGAGAACGTGAATTATGGGTTTTTGTTTAGTTATATCACATAATTTTCTTTAAAGTAAGAGATGAGGGGAAGAAACTCCCACCAATAATGTTCTTTTATCATCTTTGATCTATTTTTCTATTTCTTTCTAAATATATAACTCAAAAAAGTAAAACAAAATGAATTCTCTTTTATCTATTTCTATATTTTTCTTTAAAAAGAAATATTATTATTATATTCTTTTTGATGTTACCATTATCATTTTTACTTATGACATTTGAATTTAACTCATTCAATATAACATTTAAAATATTTTTATACAATTATAATATTACTTAAACTAAGCATAATACATAAAAGATACACTCCATAAAATTAATAAAACAAACCATACATTATCTAACCAACAATATCACTATATTTTCCTATACATAATTAACTAATGTAAAGTGAGAAATGTATCTTTTATCTTCGATTTTTCTAAATCGTTGAAACCGATTATTTTTTATCATTTGGTATTTGGATTTCTAGAGATGAAGCTTCTTTTCTAAATCCAATTAGAAACAAACAAATCCTTACAACGAAAACATATGCAAATTTTTAATTTATTTTATCATGTATTCATAGATTTACCATTTTAAATTATTTTAAACATTATCCATTTCTTCAATTCATAATAAATGAATGCAAGTAATACATACTTTTATTCATGATTACTAAGGACGTAACATGCCTTAATCAAATTCAAAGGATTTGTTACCAATGTAAGATAATTATATGTGGAAGCATGTTCAACCGAATATATACCTTACGCAGATTTAACAATGAATATCATTCGATATGAGCTGGAAATGAATACAACAGTCAAGGTCGAAATCATAGATGAAAATCAACCACTTATAAGTATTCTTCTGATTTATTTCTCAAAACTTTTTTTTTCAAAAATGTTTCTTCTATCTTCTGAATTGTCTGTAGACATCTAACAACAATCCTTAACTGTGTTCTTGTTTGATTAATTATCACTTCTTTGCAGTGTCTTGTATATATAAACAACCCACTACAAGAAATATGTACATTCTTTGCGCATAAAACATGCTATTATAGATCTTTCATAGCGAATTCATAAATGCTATGTCATCGGCAGCTATCGTAGGTACTCACTCTACGATAGTATTTTTGAAATGCTACGAAATATACAGATACAATAGCAAA